CTTTTCGATTGTTCTGATTTTCTATAGGGTTCATCCTTGGGTGATTACGAACACTCATCAAGTTTTGTCAAAATCTGTCAAGAATTGTGCCCTGTAGAGTGGTTACGAGCAATTGTAGGATGGACGGACGGACGGACATGGGTGACGGCAATATACGCCCCCCATTTCATGTGGGCGTATAAAAACCAGTGTTCTTCAAAGTATTAAAGAAAGTTCGGTTATAAAAATGATAAGGAACGACAATATTTGTTTAGCGTGCATCTCTGATCATTGATAATCGTATACCATAACTATTCTTATTACAACTTTGAATACGTGCCATGGTTTTTTTTTAATGTTTTTATAAATTTTTATCTTTAGGGTTGAAATCATTCTCATTCCAAAGATCAAATTTCATAAATTTGGTTTTACCAAACACATATTGATGGAGAAGGGTGGGAATATGCTGGTTATGATGTAACAATCTTTGCCAAAGAAAGCATGTCACAGGATGGGATGTGGTACCTAAATTACACTGTGCTTAAAGCCACAAAACCTGATATTGGAAATATGAATGTTATAACCACGCCTTCTGTGTTCCCCTTTTCAGTGAGACACAGGGTCATAAAATGCATAAAATTGATCAACACATTGAATTTCATAGTGGTTATAAAATTGTTTGCTTTGAAGGGGGGGTTGTGTAGGGCCTAAAATGCCTATTTTTTCAGCTAATTGTCAAATAAAAAGATTGCGTACTGACATTTTAATGACTGAATACAGCATATCGATGAGAGAGACGAACGGAACAATAGTAACGGCAACTAAGCTAACAAGTGTATGATAAATTCTATGAAGTTCGCATAATGCACACGTTCAAGTCAGATTATTTTCAAGCGAAATTACTATCATTTAAGCGATATTGTGATATGCCATTAACTGAGTTCAGATTGCTGGAAGGAAGTTCTTGTATCCTGTTAGCAGCTACAAAGAATGCTTTGTATTGGCATGAGATATAAATTCCAATAATATATTGTAAATGTTAGCTATCACATGAGGCAAGGTGAACTATATCAATATACCAACAGATAAATATCATCCAGGTAAAACTAGGTCAATTCAAAGGTAAAATTAATGGAAAACATTCGCAAAAAGTCACCAGTCGTTCGGGAATAAATAAAGGCTATTGGCAATGGGTACGAAAATAAAATTTCAAAGATGAAGTTGCTAATCTCAAACGAGAACTGATATGAGCTCTATTCATGTTGTCAACATGTCCATCCTCGTAACCGTTAGCCGGGAAATGGCGATTTAATAACACATAATCCGACTTATATTAGCTGCTATCAATGTTTCGTCAAAATGTTGTTTTGGATTTCGAGTTTTGTTTTGCGGTTCGGATCGTTAGTACTTAGTTTATTTATTTTTACCGTATAGGAAAATAAACGAACTGGTTGATCGTGATATTGGACCAATCGTCATATGGAATATTTATGGGAATGTCTTCCTTTAAAAGGTGCTATAGAATATATGCCAGATGTTGGAGTATCTCAGGTATACTCTCAACGCAATCCAAATGTCAAGTCAGACTCTTACTTTATCTTTGTACATAATCTAGGCTACTTACGGAATTCAGACGTTTACAAAACTTATGTCTGAGGTCACGGTATGACAAAATACTCATCAGAAGCATTCATAATATATCAACATTGGTCACAAAGTGCTTTTGTTATCAAAATGAACTTACAGAATTGGAGGGTCACGTGCAAATTGCTAAAATGGTATTTTTTCATAAACGTTCTTGGAGTTGTTTTTTGCCGAATGTGCAAGCGTTGTAAATTTTGTTTTTAACATTTTGAGTTAAAAATGCTTTGGTTTCCTCTTAGACGGAAATGAAATGAATGGAGTTTTACGTCGTACTTTTCTGCACCATGTGGGCTAATGAAGACGGGCAACACACTGTTGGCAGGGTGCAATGAGGGAAATTTTGCCAGGACATAACCCTGCTCTTCGATTTCCAACTGTCGAGGAATCTGTCGGTTTATTGTCCCATCCGAACGACTAAACGCTTTTTCCATGTCAGCCCCTCTTCTCAGACGGAGCGATTCAATTGGATTGTGCGTCAGCGAATACAGCCAATCAGAGCCCTCCAAAGAAAGCCTGTAAAATTTACCGTCAAGAACTTTGATTGGTTGTATTCACTAGCTTAAAATCCATTCAAATCGCTTCATTTACATGATACACAAAGGTCGCTATTCCAGTCAAGGTATAAGACGAAGGTCGTAATAGCCTTGCATTGTGAAGATGCTTTGGTATCATCTCTTTATTTTTGACACGTTTAAGATAATAAGACAATATGCAATTACAGGAAACCGTCGAAATAGGTAGACATTGGGAAGGGTGGTCTGAAGGCATTGAACTTTGAATAATACTCAAGTTATCATCTTATAATAATTAAACATTGAAAGACGACTATAGTCTGAAAGATGTAATTATTGTTTGTACTGAGTGATGCAGTAATGAGAATGTTTAAAACATACAATCCAGCTGGCGAAACTAAAAACCTTTCAGGTCTTGTGTAACTATTATCTCTTCCGTTAACGAGGACTCCTGTTTGCTGCGATTCCATCACATCACATATTGCACTGCAACTTTGTGACAAGGATGCTTGA